GCCTTCCGAGTAGCCAGAATTACAGGCGCGCGCTACCATGCCCGGCTGATTTTTTGATTTATTGTAGAGATGAGGTCTCGCTGCCCAGGCGGGTCTCGAACCCGCGGGCTCAGGCAATCCACTCACCTCAGCCTCCCAAAGGCGCGAGATTACAGGCTGAGCCACCGAGCCCGGCTGGACCCGATGCTTTAATGAGTGATACAGGCAAGACTCATACTCGGGGCAAGGTCCACAGCCTGAGCGCTTAACTGCTGTGGCCTCTTAGCTCTTACCTGGCAACAGCTCATTTCCCTCTCTGTCAAGGGCGTTGCTGGAGCTGGATTTCCGAAGTCCAGCTGGACACCCCCTTAAGCCCTAGCCGCCCCCCCATGTGCCCCATGTGTCATCACATGGACCCAGTAAGGAAGAGCCACCCTCAGCATCAAAGACAGGAGGGGCCGCCTGCCTAGTGCCAGGGCTTGGGACTCTAGCATTCCTTCCTTCATTTATGCATTGTAAAATATTTCCATGTCAGGCATGACACCTGGCATAGCCAGCGACCCTGTGACCTTGATTAGGTGACTCAGTTTCCCACCTACAGAAGGGTTAGGATGGGCTGGGTGTGGTGGGTCACACCTGTGATCCCAGCACTTTGAGAGGACGAGGCGGGAGGATTGCTTGAGGCTAGGAGTTCAAGACTAGTATGGATAGCATAGTGAGACCTCCTTTATACAAAAAATACAAAAAGAAAAAAATTACCTGGGTATGGTGGCGTGTTCCTGTAGTCCTTGTTACTCAGGAGGCTGAGATGAAAGGACTGCTTGAGCCCAGGAGTTCAAGGCTGCAGTGAGCTACGATTGCACCACTGCACTTTGCCTAGGCGACATAAGACCCTGTCTCTTAAAAAAAAAAAAAAAGGGTAGGACCAGGGGACTGGCACACCAAGGGGTGTTGAGAGGATGCAGGAGGCGGTGATGTGTAGGGGAAGGCAGGGTCTTTGCGGACTGAGCTTTCTCCTGAATCACCCAACCTCAGTCCTTGCAAGTCCCTGACTCGGCCTCCTGCCCTCACAGGTACCTGAGTTACACCCTGAACCCCGACCTCATCCGGAAGCAGGACGCCACCTCTACCATCAGCAGCATCGCCAGCAACGTCATCGGGCAAACTCTGGTCTGGGACTTTGTCCAGGGCAACTGGAAGAAGCTGTTTGAGGAGTGAGTCTGCAGAGAGGGTATCGGGGCAGTGAGTGCTGAGGCTGGGGGCCCTGGGCGGGCCAAGTGCCTGGGACATGCAGAGGTGCTACATGGGAGTGCTAGAAAATGAACCGGGCTCAGGGGCTGGGTGGGGCCAGGAATGGAAAGACAAGGAGGTACCCGCCGACCCTTTTCTCACTTGTGAAGAAAATGGGGCTGGGGGAGTGTTTTCTGGAAACACAGAGTCAAGGCTCTGCAGTCAGACCTGGGCCAAGTCCTGACTCCCCCATCCTCCTGGTGTCTCCGGGGCCTCCCTCACAGTAGTTGTAAGGACTCAGTGTCACCCGCTGGGCAATGAGGACTAGCTCCTGCCCCCAACCCTCCCCCCCTGCCCTCTCTCTCCCTGCAGTTACGGTGGTGGCTCCTTCTCCTTCTCCAACCTCATCCAGGCAGTGACCCGGCGATTCTCCACCGAGTATGAGCTGCAGCAGGTAAGCAGCTGTCCCCAGCCCTGGACCATCCAGGCTTGTGCCAGTCCTAAGGGGCAGCTGCATTTAGCACCACTGAGTGTGGTCACCAGGTACCATGCCGCCACGCTGAGTATGGCCATGGTTCTCCACACTGCCAGGCCTCCCTCATCTACAGAAGAGGCCAAGTAGCCCGACTTTGTAAATACTGACTGTTAATCGAGGAAATTCATTTTGGGATTTCTGTAAAGACACCAAAGTAAAGGGAATGAGAAGATGAACCTCCATGTACCCATTACCTGGGTTTGACAATTACCAGTGTTTGCCAGTACTATCTCGGGCAGACTGTTTCAAAGCCAGTCACCAGCATTAAGTAATTTCACCTGTAAATACTTTTGTCATATCTAAAATCAAGGCAATCTTAGCAGGAGGTGGAGGCTGTAGTGAGCTATGATCACACCACTGCACCCACAAAAGATTTTAATTTTGATGAAATCCAATGTATGTTTTTTGTCTGCTTATGCTTTAGATGTCATATTTAAGAAACTATTGCTAGCCAGGTGTGGTGGCTCATGCCTGTAATCCCAGCACTATCCCAGCACTTTGGGTGGTGGAGGCGAGAGGATTGCCTGAGCTCAGGGGTTCAAGACCAGCCTGAACAACATGGCGAGACCTCGTCTCTACAGTAAATAATTTTTAAAAAAATTAGCCAGGCATGGTGGTGCATGCTTGTGCTTTCAGCTACTTGGAAAACTGAGGCAGAAGGATCACCTGAGCCCAGCAGGTTGAGGCTGCAGTAGCCATGAGCGTGCCACTGCACTCTAGCCTGGGTGACGGAGTGAGATTCCAATTAAAAAAAAAGAAAAGAAAGAAAAAGAAACGATTGCTTAATCCAAAGTCATGAAAACATGAAGATTTACAACTATGTTTTCTTCTTTTATTTTTTTTTAACTTTTCACACCCAGGAAAGACTTGAATTTTTTTCTCCTGTTTTATTGTTTTTACTCCTACATGTAGTAGGAATTTGATTTATTTTGACTTAATTTTTATATATGGTGTGAGGTTGGGGTCCAACTTCCTTCATTTGCATGTTGATATCCAGTTGTCCCAGCCCCATTTGTTGAAAAGACTGTCCTTCCCCATCGAATGGTGTTGACAGCCTCATTGAAAATCAATGGAGCCGGGCTCAGTGGCTCAGCCTGTAATCCCGCGCCTTTGGGAGGCTGAGGTCAGTGGATTGCCTGAGCCCGCGGGTTCGAGACCCACCTGGGCAACTTGGTGAGACCTCATCGCTACAATATATTAAAAATTAGCTGGGCGTGGTAGTACACGCCTGTAGTTCCAGCTAGTTGGAAGGCTGAGGCGGAAGGATCGCCGGAGCCCAGCAGGTCGAGGCTGCGGTGGCCAGGAGCAGCCACTGCACTCCAGCCTGGGCGACAGAGTGAGACTCCAACTAAAAAAAAAAAAAAAAAGAAAGAAAATCAATGGAAGCCAGGCTCGATGGCTCAGCCGGTAATCCCGCGTTTTGGGAGGCTGAGGTGAGTTGCTTGCCTGAGCCCATGGGTTCAAGACCCACCTGGGCAACTTGGCGAGACCTCATCTCTACAATAAATAAAAAAAATTAGCCAGGCGTGGTAGCACACGCCTGTAGTTCCAGTTACTTGGAAGGCGAGGCAGAAGGATTGCCAGAGCCCAGCAGGTTGAGGCCTGCGGTGGCCGGGAGCGTGCCACTGCACTCCAGTCTGGGTGACAGAGTGAGACTCCAACTCAAAAAAAAAAGAGAGAGAAAATCAGTGGACTGTAAATGTAAGGGTATATTTCTGGTCTTTCAAGTCTATATGTTTCATTGATCTATGTGTGTCCTTATGCCAGCACCGTACTGTCTTGCTTGCTATAGCTTTGTAGTAAGTTTTGAAATCAAGAAGTGCAAGTCCTACAACTTTGTTATTTTTCAATTATTGGTTTGTTTGTTTTTTTTATTTTGGAGTCAGAGTCTCACTGTCTCCCAGGCTGGAGTGCAGTGACATGCTCATGGCCACTGTAGCCTCAGCCTGCTAGGCTCAGGCAATCCTTCTGCCTCAGCCTTCCAAGTAGCTGAAACCACAGGCGTGTGCCACCATGCCCAGCTAACTTTTTGATTTATCGTAGAGACAAGGTCTTGTCAAGTTGCCCAGACTGGTCAATTATTGTTTTGACTATTCTGAGTCCCTTGCATTTTCTTATAAATTTTAGGATCAGTTTATCAATTTCTGCAAAAAAAAGTAGTTGAAATTTTGATAGCAACTGCATGGAATCTCTAGATCAATTTGAGGACTCTTGCCATCTCAATAATATTAAATCTTCTAATCCATGACCACAGATTTACTTGAGTTTTTTCCTTTTATTTAGGTATTTTTAAATTTTTTCAACAATGTTTTATAGTTTTCAGGTATTTTTTGGTAAAATTTATTCCTCAGTATTTTATTATTTTTGATGCTTATTGTACATGGAATTGTTTTCTTTTTTTGAGTTGGAGTCTCACTCTTTGTTGCCCAGGCTGGAGTGCAGTGGAACGCTCATGGCCACTGCAGCCTCAACCTGCTGGGCTCAGGCAATCCTTTCACCTCATCCTTCCAAGTAGCTGGAACTACAGGCGTGTGCTACCACACCCAGCTAAGTTTTTGATTTATTGTAGAGATGAATTCTCACTAAGTTGCCCAGGCGGGTCTCGAACCTGTGGGCTCAGGCAATCCACTCACCTCAGCCTCCCAAGGCGTGGGATTACAGACTGAGCTACCGAGCCCAGCTTGAATGGAATTGTTTTCTTAATTTCATTTTCAAGTTTTTCATTGCTAGTGTATAGGGTACAGTTTATTTTTATTTTTATTTTTTGAGTCAGTCTCACTCTATCACCCAGGCTGGAATGTAGCAGCATGCTCACGGCCACTGCAACCTCCACCTGCCAGGCTCAGGCAATTCTTCCACCTCGGCCTTTCAAGTAGCTGGAGCCACAGGCATGCACCATCATGCCTGGGTCCTTTTTTGATTTATTGTAGAGATAAAGTCTCACCATGTTGTCCAGGCTAGTCTCGAACACCTGGCCTTAGGCAGATTACAGTTGAATTTTACATATTGCTCTTGTATCCTGCAACCTTGCTGAAATCATTCGTTCTAATAGTTTTATTTTGGTGAATTCCCTAAAATCATATGTATACAAAATCATGTCATCTACACAGTTATAGTTTTCCTTTTTCTTTTTTTTTTTTTTGAGTTGGAGTCTCACTCTATCGCCCAGACTGGAGTGCAGTGGCCGCTCCCGGCCCCCGCAGCCTCTCCTGCTGGGCTCTGGCGATCCTTCCACCTCCGCCTTCCAAGTAGCTAGAACTACAGGCACGTGCAGTTTTCCTTTTTCCTTTCTGGATGCCTTTCATTCCATTCTTGCCTAATTGCTTGGCTGGATCTCCAGTAACCTGTAACAGTCTTTTTTTTTTGAGTTGGAGTCTCACTTTGTTTCCCAGACTGGAGTGAAGTGGAATGCTCCCAGCCACCGCAGCCTCGACCTGCTGAGCTCCGGCGATCCTTTCGCCTCAGCCTTCCAAATCGCTGAAACTATAGGCATGTGCTACTACACCCAGCTAATTTTTGATTTATTGTAGAGACGAGGTCTCACCAAGTTACCCGGGCGGATCTCGAACCCATGGGCTCAGGCAATCCACTCTCTTTGGCCTCCCAAAGTGCGGGGATTACAGACTGAGCCACCAAGTCCGGTCTAAGTCTTTTTTTTTTTTTTTTTTTAAAGCATTTATTTATTGAAGCAGCGGGATCATCTGTGTGGTTTAGAAGTTTTCACAGTTTCAATTTGTCTGGCTGCTTCTATGTCGTGTCTGTTTAATGTTTGCCTCTCTCCCTTCTTGATTGGATGGGGATTATAATTTAAAAACTGAGGGTCACCAGGCGTGGTGGCTCATGCCTGTAATCCCAGTACTTTAGGAGGCAGAGGCTAGAGGATTCGAGACCAGCCTGGGCAACTTGGCAAGACCTCGTCTCTACAATAAATACAAAAAAAATTAGCTGGTCATGGTGGTACGCACCTGTGGTTCCAGCTACTTGGAAGGCTGAGGCAGAAGTACCACCTAAACCCAGCAGGTCAAGGCTGCAGTGGCCGTGAGTGTGCCATTGCACTCCAGCCTAGGTGACAGAGTGAGACTCCCAACTAAAAAAAAACCCCAAACCAAAAAATACTGAGGTTCAACTCCAGGAAATACTGCACAGTGAAGGCTTTCCCTGGGTCTGCCCTTTTGCATCTCTGCAGATGAAGACTTTTGCCCCAGGGAGAAGTGAAGATCTGGTCCTCCCTTATCCCTAGGTCAGGGTGTGGTCCCCACCCTGTAGGCCTCAGGTGGGGGTGGGCGACCAGGGGACTGTAGGACCCTCTCCTCAAGGCCATGTTCGAGGCCCAGCCAGGGGCTGAGGGTCTTTGTTTTCCTGGCAGCTGGAGCAATTCAAGAAGAACAACGAGGGGACAGGCTTCGGCTCGGGCACCCGGGCCCTGGAACAAGCCCTGGAGAAGACGAAAGCCAACATCAAGTGGGTAAAGGAGAACAAGGCAGCAGTGCTCCAGTGGTTCACAGAAAACAGCAAGTAGCCCTGCCTCCCACATGAGAGGCCCACGTGCTCCTGTCCCATTGGCCGTGGCTCCATTCCCAGAGCCTGAGGCACCATGTCTTCCCCTCAAGGACAATGTCTCTGGCCCACATCCTTCCTGCTCTGCCCGGGCCAGTCTAGTTCCTGATGGCCAGGCTATCTGAGCAGACCCTGGCCCTGCCCCTTGTGCCAACTCCGCCCCAGGCCTGGCACTGCACCTGTCACCCAGGTCCTGAGGCTGATCTCAGGGAAGCCCAGCTCCAGGGCCGGATGAGCAGGAGCCCTCGATGGACAGTGGACTACCTGAGGGGGCCACCTGCACTCACTCGCCTTCCCGTAAAGACCCCGATCTGTGGAATCAACAGGGCAGCAGATCTGTATATTTTTTTCTAAGAGAAAATGTAAATAAAGGATTTCTAGATGAGTTTCAAGACTCCTTGCTAGAGTGACCCAGGAGTGGGTGGGCACAGCTGCTGGGGGGACTGCAGTGGAGGGAAGCTGGGGACTTGGGGAGCACTGTGGGGCCTGGGACCCCCAAGTAGCAAGGGAGGTGGGGAGGGAAGGTGCTCAGCCGGCAGCCCTTTCTGCATGTGCCCTGCACCTGTGCCCCAGGGTCAGCCTGCAGGGCTCATTTCAGCTGGAGACACTGGGGTGGAGGGAACGGGGAGAGGCACGGGAGGGGGAGGGTGGGCAACTGTGGACGCAGGGCTCCTGGAGTGGGTAGGGACAGCAGTTCTGGCAGGGTGGAGGGAGTGCTTTCCAGGAAGGGAGCGGGTGGGGTGCTAGCTGCACCCCTCTTCCTGCGCCACAGGAACACCTGGGACACCTGCTACAGTTGGGGAAAGGTCAGTGAACACAGCAAGCCCGGGTCCCAGCCCTCATGGCACCCCTCGCTGGCCGAGGATGTGTCCTACCACCCCTCCAGGCTCTGAGGCGGGTGGCAGGTGGGTATCAGTTTGTGCAGGGGCTGCTATCTAGAATAGCACACAGGAAGGGGCTGGGCTGAGAAGGCAGGTGGGGACAACTTTGCTGGGCTCATAAGATGGGGGCTGTGCCCTTCAGGCCATCTGCAGCATTTGGAGGTCAGGGCCACTCTAAAAAGGCCTTGAGCCCACGTGGCCTTGGTGGGCTTTCTTGGTAAATGGAGGCAGGCTGTGGGAGGCTCCCTTCAGCCTCAGCCCCAGGAGGCCCAGCTGACCATCTAAGGCTGGGGTAGGGAAGGAAAGAAGGCAAGACAGCTGCAGGAGTCCTTGGGAGTCACCTCTGTCAGCAGGCTGGGATCTTGGAGTCCTGTAGCTCTGGTTTTCAGATCACAGTTCAGTCACTGTTTCCCAGCAAGTGACCCACATCCCTGAGCCTCAGTTTCTTCATCCGCACAAAGAGGCGGTAACAGCACTTGTGTTGTTGGGTGGATTTAAGTAGATTCCCGTACTTAGCACATGGCCTGACATGGGAGAGTATTATTATCAGCCTTGGTCTGGTCTCCTGTCTCAAGGCCCCTCCAGTCTCTTCCCCCTCGTGAGAAGCAGGCACCGGCAGACCTGGGACCACAGAGGCTCCACCATCCCCCACCACCATTCGCACATCAAAGGATAGGGCGGGCCAAGGGGGGGCACTGTCCCCCCACCAGAGACTCCCCGAGACGCCCCAGATTAAGCCTCCCAGTCCCTTCAGGCCAGCCCTTCCTGTCGCCAGTACCCAGCAGCCATGGCTGGCGCTTGACCTTCTGGGGGACCAGCTGGGGAGGGGCCCGCCTCATCCACTTGGGTCCCTAATGGGCCCCAGGCTCCGAGGACATTGCAGGGGAGAGAGGGGGCCCGCTGAGGGGGAGAGTTTATGCACATGATCCCAACAGTGTGGAGAGATAAGACTGTCTTATCTCAGTTCTACAGATAGGGAAACCGCAGGCAAGGGTGATGGTGAGTCACAACTCCATAGGGCTAGTGCTGGAAGCCACTGTCTGGCTCTGCTGCCTGCACATAAGCAGAAGTCGGTCCTCTGCTGAAGCTGGGGCAGGGTCTGAGACGTCCACACTGCCATGCTCGGGCCACCGGGAGGCATACAGTGCCGGCACTCATCAGGCCCTTTGCGGCTGGAAGGAAGTGGTCCCTGGGCTGCAGCAAGGACATGAACAGCTAGAGAGCTGTCTGCAGTCTTGATCAAGGTCAAAAAGCAGGCAGGGCATGGTTGCTCCCAACATTTGGGAGGCCGTGGTGGGAGGATTGCAGCCAGGAGTTCGAGACCAGCCTGGGCAACACATTGAGACCATCTCCATAAAAAATGTCAAAATTAGCCAGGCATGGTAGTGCACACCTGTAGTCCCAGCTGCTCAGGAGTCTGAGGGAGGAGAATTGTTTGAGCCCAGGAGTTCGAGGCTGTGGTGAGCTGTGATTGCACTACTACACTCCAGCCTGGGCAACAGAGTGCAATGCTGTCTCTAAAAAATGTAAAAAGTCAGCCAGGCTCGGTGGCTCAGCCTGTAATCCCGTACTTTGGGAGGCTGAGGTGAGTGGATTGCCTGAGCCTGCGGGTTCGAGACCCGCCTGGGCAACTTGGTGAGCCCTCATCTCTACAATAAATAAAAAAATCAGCCGGGCATGGTAGCCTGTGCCTGTAATTCCGGCTACTCGGAAGGCTGAGGCAGAAGGATGGCACTGCCACTGCACTCCAGTCTGGGCGATGGAGTGAGACTACAACTCAAAAAAAAAAAGTAAAAGTCAAAGAGCAGAAACCAACTGGAACTCAGGCAGTTGAATCCATGCCCAGCGCTCTGTCTGCCAAGGAGCTCACCCCTCAATGCTCAAGGCCAGCAGGACTGGAAGGTGCTGAGAACTGGCAAGCAGCAGCCCCTGTGGCTCCTCCGACCCAGCCCTTGGACATGGGGGATTCAGCTCTGCTGGGACAATCTTTTAGCACAGCAGGGTACTGGGCCAAGCGTTTCATTTCTCCCAGCCTCTGTTGATACAGAGACCCTTTAAGGGCCAAACGTTTCACTTCTCCCAGTCTCAGTTGATATAGAGACCCTTTAATGTCTGCCCATATTGTTATGACCGGAGTGTGAGATGGTAGATTGCCATTATGCAGGGAATTTAATTAAGAGTCCTTTATTTATGCCAGCGACTGAGAGCGGACTATTGTCCTAAAGGGCTCTTGGCCCCGAGTGAAGCAGGCAGTGGGTTTATAAAGGCAAAAATTGCAAGGATACATAGCAACTTAGCAACCAAAATGGGAACTTTTGATTGTTAGGGAGTTTTGATTAATTCTATGTCCCAGGCACAACCAGAGACTGGAACAATTAGGGCAGTTACATGGAGAGAGACAAGGTGGAAGGACTACTATACAATGGAGTTACCTTGGTTAGGTTATGGAATTACCTTGGTTAGGTCACTAACAAAATATAGGTTTATAATATGGACTGTAACAATGGAGTTTTGCAAAGCATAACATTTGAGTTCAGTTAGCAAAGGATACAATTGCATGGAACTTGTGGCTAGGGAGTTTCCAAATGGTCAGGAGAAACAGTTTATGGGAAACAGGAATGTGGGTGTCTGTGAGTACAAGGAACTTATTTTAGTCACATGTGGGGGGGGCTATATCTGGGTAGCAAGCAGCTAAGATGGAGGATTTTATTTATTTATTTTGGTTTTAAATTTTTATTATAAAGATGTGGGGTAAGCCGGGCTCGGTGGCTCAGCCTGTAATCCCGCACCTTTGGGAGGCTGAAATGAGTGGATTGCCGGGTTCGAGACCCGCCTGGGCAACTTGGCAAGACCTCATCTTTACAATAAATCAAAATGAGCCGGGTGTGGTAGCGCGCACCTGTAGTTCCAGCTACTCGGAAGGCTGAGGCGGAAGGATTGCCGGAGCCCAGCAAGTTGAGGCTGCGGTGGTTGGGAGTGGCCACTGCACTCCAGTCTGGGCGACAGAGTGAGACTCCAACACACACACACACACAAAAGATGTGGGGTACATTTCAGGGAAGATGGAGGATTTTTAACAAAAATGCAGTTACTTATATCAAGTAAGCTATTATAGGCTATTATACCTTTTACAGACATTTCATTCCCCCCTTTTACTTGTTCACGAGTCAATGCATTGACTCATCAGTTATAGGTATACTATTTGTACTGGGGTTGTGAGGATGATGACGTAGGGTTCCTTCCAGGCAGGGGTCAGTCTTTTTTTTTTGGGAAATTTTTGACATAGACCAAGTCCCCAGGCTGGAATGGATGACACGGTGTGGAAAACAGAGTTGGCAAAATGGCACAGACATTGGTGTGGAAAGTTTTCGGGACCTGTTGAAGTGACTGGAGATACTTTAACAAAGATTGATTAGTTATTTCCTTTAGAATGGGATCCTGTAACCAGGGTAACAGAGAAGGGGTTTTTAAAAATATAATTTTGTATGGGGTAAACCCAGCCTTATATGGGGTGCATTAGGCCCGAAGAAGGGTCAGAGGCAAAAGGCTTACCCATTTTTCACTAGTCTCTATTATTAATTTGGTAAAGTAGTTTTTAAGATCTGGCTCATGTGTTTTACTTGTCCAGAGCTTTGTGGTCGGTAAGCACAACGCAGCTTCCAATTAATGTCTAGTGCTTTACTGACCAGCTGTACTATGGTTGAGGTAAAAGCAGGACCATTATCAGAGCCAATGGAGAGAGCCCAAACCTAGGAATAATTTTATTTAATAAGAACCTGGTAACCGTAAGTGCGGTTTCAGTTTTTGTGGTAAAGGTTTTTGCCCATCCAGAAAAAGTATTTACAAACAACACCAATAGATAGTTATACCCTATGTGTGTGGGGGGGTTATTTCAGTTAAGTTTACTTCCCATTTTTCTCCAGGGGTTGCCCCTTGAGTCCTGATGCTGTCTGGAGGTCTGAGTTCTTGTTTTGCATTGCCTTGGGCAGGCCGGGAACATAACAGCTGCCGTTGCAGCTATGCTTTTTAAGTCATTAATATGATAAAAACAGTTTAACAGTTCAGTCATTTTAGTACCTCCCAAACGGGTAGTAGAATGTAGTTGTTTTACCAAGACATGCTCCAAGGCTTCAGGCAGAATAATTTTAGAGTCCTTAATTCACCATCCAGTGGAGTCTTTGTAAATTCCCGCTAGGTTCACCTGTTCCTCTTCTTCCTGGGTATAGGTGGGCTGTTTTGGGAGAGAAGGAGCTGGAAAGATTTTAGTTAGCAGGATAGTTGGGGGTTCAATGGGGAGTTCTGCTGCCTTCCGAGCTGCCTGATCCACCAGGAGGTTCCCAGTTGCTTCTGGAGTATCAAATTTCTGGTGTCCCCTGCAATGAATAATGGCTACCTCTGTAGGGAACCATATAGCCTCTAGGAGGGCTAAGATTTCCTCCTTGTTTTTGATGGTCTTACCTGCAGTGGTAAGAAGTTCTCGTTCCTTGTAGATTATGGCATGCAC